ACTTGTGTTAATATCAGTGGCCTCGTTTTGCTGTATCATTACAATTTGGCTTCTTTATATTAATGTTTGAAAGGGATTAAAGTTGGCATTCTAGAACATGCCCTTCACTGGTTATGTAAATAAAACTGTAGAATGACACGTCAGATGAAGTTAGTGTGATTTTAATTGTGCACTACAACCAAGCTGTAACCAGTTATTAATAATTTAGAATGTAATCCCAGGACAATTAAGCAGTTAGTCGACAGTACTTCTGTGAAATAGTGGAGGAGGAGGGCATTTCTGTATTTCAGGACTTTTCTTGGGGTTTCAGAATGGGTTTATATGATTTCCTTTATTATTATTTTTTTGGTAGTTTTATTTATTCTATCAGTCTTTTTAACAAATGTTTATTGCTGCATCCCACCCCCCTCCCCCAGTGTATCATTGTTTTACTGCCCTTGTAGCACTGGAGTTTAGTTGGAAAAATAAAACATTTACTTCTATTCTGCTTGTTCTCGAATTGTACACATGGGTAGTATTTGAATAAAGTTTTGAACATAAGTATTTTCAATAAAGTTAGATTTCTGGTAAGGTTCACCTTTTACTAAATGCTGTTTCCCAAAATTAAGTTCTGATTCAAAATTGTATGACAACATGTTACGTAACAAGCTCTCAAACGGGTATAGAAGTTTTACCTTTTGATTCCAGTTTTAATGTTGTTGAATGATTTGATAATGAAAGCATGGTTGCTCTAGTGGATATAAAATACCCCAGCCAAAAGCAGTTTAGGGTAGAAAATATCTTTTAGCTCAATCCGCAGTCCCAGTCCACCAGAGTGGGAAAGTCAAACAACAGGACAATGCATCCACTGGTAAGAGCAGACAGCAATGAATGCACGCATAGTAGTCGGTTAGACTTCTCTTACACAGTGCCATTCACTTTCAGGTTGGTGCTTCCTAATCAGTTATCAGCCACCCACAGATGCCCACAGGCCTTGTTGAGACTATGTGGTCTTGACAAAATCAGCATGATAGGGGCTAAAGAGAGGCTCAGCAGTTAAGAACACTTGTTGCTCTTGTATAAGACCCAAGTTCGGTTCATAGCACCCACATAGCAGCTCACTAACTGATTCCTCTTGTGAACTCAAAGGTCTCAGGATACACATGGTACATACATATACACTCAGGAGCACATACATTAAGTACTATCAAAACACTAACCTCACATGAATAAGTGTAACACACTTTCCACAAATGGTTTCCAAATGAAGCATTCTTACAAAGTAATGAACAATACATTTGTAAACTTGGTGGTGTCAAGGTAGAGGCAGGAGGATTAGGAGTTCAAGGCCAGCCTGCTCAATGACAGAACACCTACACCCCCCCCCCAAAAATACTGCTCAGTGAATTCTATTTTTAATTTTAAAAATATTTAAGTGTCTAAGGCCAGAAGACAGACAATTGTTAAACTGCCCGTGTGGAGGCTGGAAACCAAACTCCTGTAGCACCAAGTAATTTATTTATTTTTGGTTTTTCAAGACTATCCTGGAACTAGTTCTTGTAGGTCAGGCTGGCCTTGAACTCAGAGATCCTCCTGTCTCTGCCTCCCGAGTGCTGGGATTAAAGGTGTGTGCCACCAAAACCCAGCACACCAAGTATTATTAACTACTGAGCTGTCTATCTCTCTGGCCCCTTCTCAATTTTAATAGCATACTTCTAGTCATTAAACTAATCTTAAGCATACTATCTGATTTGTAATCACTGAAAACAGGATTTTTGTGTTTTTAACTTAAGTAAACAGTCAAAGTGTTGTAGGGCTTTCACAAGTATCCCAGGCAGTTCACAAATCTATTAGCATATGAGAAACACAAATTATAGCATGCTGCTAATCTCCTACTAGTAGAGACTTTGAGTTTCTTTGGGATAAATCTGCATTCTAGAGTGTTGACCTCTCATTAGGTGTCAGACATTTTACCTCAACACTGCAACAACTTGCTAGGAAAATATTCATAGAAGTTGAAAGAATAATCGTCATCTACTTGAATTTTTCCTTCAAGTATAAACTGCTCTAAATTGTTTTCAAAAAGTTGTACTCATTAATGCCAAATTGTTTATGCTTCTTTCTAACCTCAGTGTTATTCATCTGGAGCACAATGTCTGTCTATTACTCTAAGCCTCCTCCTACCCGCTTCACCCTAGGATTGATTCACTCAAGATACCAGCCTTTAAGGAAAGACGAAGCCTGTTATTTTGAGCATTTCTTCGTGCTACCATTAATATGACCTGTGCTTTTGAAGTTACAAACTAGGAAGGCAGGTCTAAAATTTTAGGGGGTGGATCTCTTAGATCTGGAGTTACAGGTAGTTTTGAGCAGGCTGATGAGAAACAGCAAGTGTTTTTAGGGTAAATCTTGTATAAGAATGTTAGGTGGTAGTGGTGGTGGTGGTGGTGCACACCTTTAATCCCAGCACTCGGAGGCAGATGCAGGCAGATCTCTGTGAGTTTGAGGTCAGCCTGGTCTACAGAGCCAGTTCAGGACAGCCTCCAAAACAATACAGAGAAACCCTGTCTCAAAAAACCAAAAAAAGTAAGGTGGTGCTGTGGTTTCCATGCTATAAAGTAATAGCATATAGCCTTTCCACAGTTGCTGTTGAGTTTGAATACCTGATTAGGTCATCTGGTAAATTTATCTTAATCCGTTATTAACAAAGTTACCTGAGATTTCTATCTTGATAGTTAATAACATTTGAGCTTGAAACTCTTCATTTGGCTTCTCCATCAACTGCTTTGACTATTAACTTTTACTGTTTCCCTGAATTTTTAACTATAAATAAGCATAAACCTCAAAGCTTGAGTTTGAGCTCCTTGCCCTGTGTGACATTTTACTTAAATGTCTTAACAGGACATATCCAAAGCCAAACTCATTTTTGCTGCTAATGTTTCTTTCAACCAACTAAGCCTTCAATAACTACAATAAAATAAATCCTCGAGATGATTTGTTTATAAAGTCAGAAGTTAATTGTAATTCAGCATTGAAGGTTTCAGAAATGAGTTGTCTGTGTTACTTTGGTGTGTAGTGACGCAGCAGCAGTGTAGAGCTAAATTGTTTCAAAGAGTAAAGAGGACTTTTGGATCCTTGGGCTTGAGAACTTTCTTCCTAGACATTCCACCACCATTCAGTAGTATGGGACTAAGCCTCACACACATGGTCTTCTGGGTATATACACACCTTAACCAAACCATAGTAAGCCCCCTGATAGCAAGCCTTCTAATTGTTAGGCTCTTCGTGTGCATCTAATTGTAGTACATCTACAATGTCACTGTCTCAGTGGTCAACTAACAGGTTACTGCTTTGCTTCATCATTGCTCTTACTGTATTCTCATAGCAGGTATTGATCATTTAGAGTTATGTCTGTTGTTTAGGTTGCTTCCTAGATAAAGTGAGCAGTTCATATAATGATCTGTGGAGCTATTACCTACTCTTGCCCTTCTCATTCAGTTCCCATTCTAGCTCTTGCTGTCTGCTCCTTTATTATTGCTGCTGTCTGCCTAGTGGGTTCACCCATCAATGCTCATGGAGTTTTTTTCCACTCTTCACTTTTATTCTGACCACTGTTAATGACAAGCCTACTTCTTACCCCACTGTTCCTTGTTTTCTACCACAAATAGTGTGTTCTGCTATGCTACAGTGCAAGGAAGACAGATCTTTGTTTTATGAAGTATCTTAGGAGTAGCAGGTACACAGTACATCCTTAATATCTTTTAAACAAACTTAAAGCACCTCAAGATTTTAGATTAGAATTAGGATATTGTTTTTCTTTTGTTTTAGTGAAATACTAAAGTCATTCTAGTTGAGGTTTCAGTTGTGCTCAACTAGGGGCTAAACTATAGGATACCACGTAATTATTAAAAATCACTTTAGTGTGACAACTCTGGTACTATGAAAACAGTTCATGTTGTACTGCTCCTAATCTTAGGTAATAGAGAAAATGAGTATGCATATGATACGTACAAATGTAGGTAAATGCCTAGGAAAAGAAACGTGTGCCTTGGTAGAAAAGAAAAAAATCTGCCAATGTTAAGAACAGTTCCTCTGTATTTTACATGCATAAGATATATTGTTTAAGTAACTTTATAATCTCAGCACTGAGTGGGGGGCAGGGTTACCCAATAGTGCAAAGCCAGCCTGGGGAGACAAAGGTTTCTCAGTTTTATCTGGGATACATACATCTGTGTTCAGGAGTTAAGATGAATTCTGCTCTCAGAGCAGGCCTGAGTTCAATTCCCAGCACCCACAACTGGGGTTCAACAAATAACTCCAGTTCTAAGGTGATCAATATCCCTGGTTTTCTTGGGCACTGCACCCCTACATACATACAATTTTTTTTAAAGCAAATTGCTCTTAAAGTAGTCCTGCAATATAAGTTAAAAGTGAAGGTTTAAAGAGGGTTGTTTTTTTTTCTGAACATGAACATTTTACATTCGTCTCTGAATTATGTCGGGGGTTCAACATTAATAAGCTTTAGGTGTCTGATTTAAGTTCTCAGCATGAAAAAGATCTAGATATTATTTCATTCAGGCCTTTACATTTCTGAGTTTTGTATGCTTGGCTGTAAGGTCTCCATGACTGTTCATGTGAATATTTCTCTGCCATTGAGCTGTTGGGATCACAAGAAGTGTGGAGGCAATGGTGGTTTTTCAATCTTTCTATCATGAAAACCACCTATAGGTCATTACTTGTACAGGTGTGAGAAGCGCAAGTATCTGGAGAGAGGAATGAGTATTGCTGACCAAGTGCCAGTAACTTAACCTGAAGAAGAAATGACATCCTTTACACACTATCCACTCAATGCTTTGTTAGAGTTTAGCAACAACTGTAGAAAGTATAGCTACATTGTGTGTAAAGGCTTTTGGTTACTCATGCATTTGTTAGTTAGACTTGAAGTACTCCAAAGATGTTTTGATACAAGTTTCAGGTTAGCAGTGCACTTTTTGGATAAACAACTCAGCAGCAGTCACTTCTAGTAGCATGTGCCAGGTTTCTTTTATTTTGTTAGATGTGGAGCCCTGTCTTATATGCGCTTCAGCAGCCTCCCCATGTCAGCCTTGCCACATGGTCAGTCTTCTGTTTCGTAGGTTTTATAAAGCCTAAAAGCTCTAGTTCAGAAACAGCTCTAATAAATCGAGCACTGGAGACTCTAGCTAAGGAAAATTAGTTTTCTTTTTTTTTTTTGACAAAAAGGCTAAAATTTCAAACTTAAAACAGTAACTGGTAAATTGAAATAGGTGGATGAAAAATATTCCTAAATTATAAATAATCGTATTAGAATACATTAAATGCAATTAGAACACACTGTTAAAGTTTCAAATGGAGCTATGTGTGATGGTACATATATCTATAGTAATCCCAGCATTATGTAAGAATTGCCTATATTTAAAAATTGATAATTTAATAATGACAATTTCCTTCATAGTAAAAACTGGATAAAAATCGAATTCTAGGTTTGATCTCAGATTAAATTCAGGACACTTAGAAATTTAGGTGGTTGTAGAATGGTTGAGTTGAATTTCTAGATGTGAATTTTTTGTTTACTTACTTTTTGTGCTGGGGCCTGAATTCAAGCACATGCTGCATCACTGACCTAGACTCTCCAGCTCAAGAAACAACATAAAATACTTGGTTTTAAAAGGATACTGGACAATTTCATTCATTTCTTCTGAGGTTGTAGACTTTGCATCCGTTTTTTCAGCAGCTGTCACAACTGTTGCAAAAGCCTGTTGAGTACACAAGACATATGAAAACTTATTGCTAGGCATCTTTTGTGTACCCTTGAGATGGTTCTGTAACTAATCAGACTTCAATACTGCTAACTGGCACACTTTCATATCAGATTTCAAATTCTCAAAACCACACTAGTAAGTTTGTCAGTTATCATTAAAAGTAACATTGACTTTTTATTAAGCTTGTTTTAGAGAACTAAAGCAGAACAGCAAAAAAAAAAAAGTCAAAAGTTTAAAAACAAAGAAAGCCATGCTTCTGCATAACTTTCTTGGAACATGCTATTTCAGCATAGGCTTTGCCAGCTAAGATCTCTGTAATACTCTCCCTCCTCCAGCAGCACTTGTCCATTACCTTGCCATGCACCCCACCCACCTACTCCCCCCTTTTTTTTTGTTGAGACAGATAGGGTTTCTCTGTGGCTTTGGAGGTTGTCCTAGAACTCATTCTTGTAGACCAGGCTGGTCTTGAACTCACAGAGATCAGCCTGCCTCTTCCTCCCAAGTGCTGGGATTAAAGGCATGCACCACCACCATCCATCTTCCTTGCCATGCATTTCTTGTTCTTCCTGATTGGAATTTCTTCTGTTGTATGAGGGGGTATTCACTACACCCTGAATTCTGTGGGGTGCACAGACTGATCTGAGTTTTGACTTTTGCTTTTAAAGAATGCAGGAAATCAAAACAAAAACTTGTAGGAAACTTGCCTCAAGCGGTTAAACAACTAGCATGTTCTTTTCTTTGTAACCTACCTCTGACCAGTCGACAAGGTTAATTAGCCGGCTACACTCCAGGTGCAGTTTATATGCTATACAGATGTCAGGGGCAATATTTGGAATACAGCCTTCCTCAGTTTTCAGGGCTTCATTCTAAAAACAGCAGATTAAATGTGAGTCTTTTAGAAAGAATTAAAAGCAAAGATTTGCTGAACTTCTTGTGGTGGTTTGGAAGAACGTCCCCAAAGGGAGTGTGGCACTACTAGGAGGTGTGGCCTTGTTGGAGGAAGTATGTCTCTTGAAGGTCTCTTGCTCAAGCTTCCCTCAGTGTGACAGTCACTCCACTTCCTGTTGCCTGCCTGTGAAGATGTAAGGACTCTCAGCTCCAGCACCTGCCCGTCTGCCTGCATGCCACCACGCTCCCCGCCGTGATGATAATGGACTGAACCTCTACCCTATGAGCCACCACAAATGTTTTCCTTATAAGAGTTGCCGTGGTCAAGGTGTCTCTTCACAGCAATGGAAACACAAACTAAGATACTCCTATATTTAACAAATCAGAAAGTAGAACCTCTTAGTTCTTTCCTTCATACTTCAATAGTATTCTTACTTGGGTTTAAATTTTGGCTGTATCTGTCTAGTTCTAAGCCCTCCTCACAACGAGACTTGTTTTCCAGATCTTAGTTATCCATTATTATTTGTTGAGACTACCATAACACATTTCATTTGCTGCAATGAGTTTAGAATCCTCAGGGAATGATTACCCAATGAAGTGCTTCTTCCTCCACTTGTTAAACTCAATTCCAGCAGCTACCATGTGGCATTAGTTAATATCTCATTAATGGGAGAATAAAAGTTATCTCTTAAAGAAAAAGACTTTGCTGTCAATACTGTACTTAAAAACAAAAACAAACCATTATAGCCTGAGCTAACCATTATAACCTAAGTACAGGTTTACTTTTGTTTATGTGCATGTGTGTCTCTGTGAATGGAGGCCTCTTAAGTACAAGCATCTGCAGAGACCAGGAGAGGGCACCAGAAAAGATCTGTAAGCAATCCACCACTGAGTCCTATATAATACCATAAGCTCTATATAAACTCAGTATTGATTTAACCTATTTGAAATCCATTCACAAAACGCATCTAAAAATCACAAGTTTGTTTTCTGTAATTCTTATCAGTAAGCATTTTCATTTGTAATTTTCACATTAAAACAATATTGTTATTTTTAAAAAATTATGTCATTTATTGTACGTGGGGGTGGAGGGTGCATATGAGGGGTTGGAGACTAATTTGTAGGTATCAAGTTTCCTTCCCTCCACAGTTTGAGTCTCAGAGACGTTTAATCAGGGTTAATGGCAAATGCCTTTACCTACTCACTAAGCCATTTAACCAGCCACGGCTATGATTTAAATATGAAATTATCAAGGATGAAGAGATGGCTTAGGGGGTAAGAGCACCTGCTGCTGTAGCAGAGGACCTTAGCCTGGTTGCTGGCTCCTACTTTGGGCAGCTCACAACCCCCACAATTTCAGCTCCAGGGACCCTTGTGGGCACTAGGCTCACGTGAGCTCATAGCCCACACCCATATTAAAACAAGTCTTTAACTACAAAACCATCAAGCTTCTGATTACTGCTGTCACTGAGGACCACTGACATGTGACTTCCTCCTCTGTATTCTCTTCCCATACTTCACAGCAGTATGGGATGTTTGTATGGAGTCGTGTGTGGCGCTTGTGGGAGTCAGTTCTCTCCTTACACCAAACTCGGGTCATCAGACTTGGAGCCACTTCACTGGTTTAATCACATGAAAGACAGACAGAGCCATGTGGGCAAATGGATGCAACCTCAGTTGATGACTGACACTATCACTGGTTCCTTAGAAAAATATTCATGGCAGCACCCAGAACTGCTAATTTTCTGCTCACTGGAACGGAACTGCAAACTTTGGATATTTTTGTGATGCTGAGCGTAACTGAGAGAACCAGCTTCCTTCTTACCTTTAGATAATAATAAGGGTTGTTGAGTGCCGTGTGCAGGGCGACTCGTGGCGCAGCATTTAGGTGCTCACGAAGCGTATGGGCAGCGCTGAAGTACACCGCCTCATGTAAAGGCTGGCTCTCTGGAGGCAGAAGGTAACTTCTGAAACAGTGAGATCAGGTATCAGCTTTCCGATAGGTACAGGGCTATTCTCAGTTCAACAGTTCTGTCAATCCTCTATGGCTGAATCCTCAACCAATCCAAAGATCAGAATTATACTTCAACCTACTTTAAACACTTCCTCTTGTATTTGTGATGGCTGTCCTTGGTGGTCTACTAGACTAAACCTGGAATTAACTTAAAATGCAAGCAGCTGTACACTCTCCAGTGAGGCATTTTTTTTAATTAGATCATTTGAGGTAGGAAAACTCACCCTAAATTTGGGCCACACCTTCTTAAGTCAGCCCATGCAAAGGGCATGAAAGAAAACCCTGGCTTATTCTGCCTGCTTGCCCATACTCTCACTGTCAAGTTCATATACCCTTTTGATGAATCATTCCTTCAGTGGTTATTAGAGTCTACTCTTCAGGACTCTGACATACTGACTGAGACATCCAACCTTGTGGATTAACCACCATTGGATTGGATTCTTGGGACCTTCTATCAGGAGACAGCTACTTTTGGGCTAGCTGGACCATAGCCTGTAAGCCACTCTAGTAAGTGAGGGAAGGACCACACAACAGAGTTGGCAGCCTGAGCCAATGGGGCCTTGGGAGGGGGTGTATAGGCAAGCCTGATTTCCACAATAAAGGAGCTGCCTTTTGCTAGCCCACCTGAGTCTGTGTTGGTTGACTCTGTACCTCACCCCCTACCAACCTGTAACCCCAATGCTGTAGGGCTGACAGACACCTAAAATTCAGATTTAGTGAGAGATCCTGTCTCAAAGGACTAAGGGACATCATCAAAAGAGACACCTGATGCCCTCTGGCCTCCATGAATAGCACACTCACATATACACAAGCACACACAAAAAGGAAAAGAAACCCCCAAAGGCTAAATTTTCCAATTATTATAAAACTGAGCATAACTGAGAACTTTATTTTTGCCTGAGCTAGATGGCAGACCAATTTTAATGAAATGTTTACTTTGAATCTACACTGAGTCAGTGTCAGTGCATGACTGACAGTCTGCAGAGGGCCTGCAGTGAAGCCTGCAAGGCAGGAGCTTCGGCACACTCAGTGCAAAGACAGAGCAGCGGGGGCAGAGAGAGCCCTGGCCATGCACATAGGCCTCCCACCTCCTCCTCCCTCCTCGAGAGCTCCTGAGCCTCCGCACTCTGCTCTCAGATGCTGGCCCTGCACAGGCCCTTGTAAAGCAGCACAGATGAATGGTGTACTACCTATATTTCATTTTAAATGTCGCTTCTCCAGACCGTGAAGCTCTGCCAAACACCTGTACTCTAGGTCTTGTGGAAAATATGGAAGGGCTTGTGTGACACAGGCAGCTTTGGCTGTTGCGTCTCCTGTCTCTCTTCCCTTTATCTGCCCTCCTTTCCCTTCTGTTTCCTTCCTTTCTTCCTTCCCCCTTCCCTTTTAGCTTTAACAAACGACAATCTTGATCACTTTCTCCTGGGAGAGACAATCTCGGTAACAACACCAAGCCTGTGATTTCACAACAAATCTCAATCATTCTCAACATCATTTCGGAGCTGGGGAAAGGCTGGAGTCAGACGTAGCAGACAACGGTTGGTCAGAAGAGTGGCTGGGTGGCTGGCAAGCCTCTCAAAGGCTGGGGGACAGGCACGAACCACCACATTCTGCTCGGCTTTTAAATGCTGAAGTCATTTTCTTTGGTGCATGTCCCATTTTAAAATTTGTAACAAGGTCCAAGTTTCCAAAAGGTCACTTAGTTAATTTCCTGTACACTCGTAACACTGGCTTTTAGGAGATGAACAAAATGATCCTCCCCAGAAAGAACCATAAAACACTAAAATGGGAGACTCTGATAGTTCCTGAGCAGATGAGTTCAATATATATTCGTGCTGATATTTACCTGTCCTGGTAAAATATTCAGAAAAAACCAGTAACATAGCTAGTATACAATGTCTATTTCTGGGCTGGACCCAGATCTGTCATTTACTACATATACAGGCAAAATAAAATAAAATAACATAAAGCACAATATAAACCAGGAGAAATATATCCTCAACCAGTTTAATAAGCTAAATGAAGTGCAAACCTGCCTTCCTGAACTGACAGTAAAAAATTAACAAGTCATTTGATTAGACAACAAGAACAGAAGTTCAATAAAAATGCTAACTTTAGTTAGATGGAAGAAACACCCTGGCTATAGGCAGCTACTTTACTAGTGTCATTTGGAAAAACAGGATTACTTTTAGCTCTTGAGAGCTTTAGACTTACCTCACTAGGTTGTCCATGAAGTTCACAACATTTTCTCTGAGCATTTCAAACTTGGTTTGCTTCTTAGTTGTTCTCCTTAACTCTTTCATTTCCAATAAGGACTACAAGGCATAAGGGGGGGTAGGTAAAAGAACATGCTATTTCTGGTGACTTTAGGACAGAAACACTTTCAGAGAGAACTGTTACATATGTAGAGAAGCATGAGCTGTCACTCAAGTAAAAATGTCCTCATGCAGAGTGCAAAGAACCAGATCAAAATGTGTTTTATTTTCTGGGAAGAATCTGGGAAGATTGCCCCGCTACATGTTTTGCTTTAAACGTATACCAAGTGACTGTTGAAGGAGAGAAGAGAGTAGTTCATTTCACTGCTCAGGGATGTAAGAGTGCTCACTATTTAGAGACCATTAGTTCATTTACGGGCATGAGGAAGAGTGCCAGAAGAACAAGGAATAAAACACCAACCATTACCACCACAGCTTTGGGTCACATTAACAGACAGATTCTGAGTCCAGTTTCACCCAGACTGAAATTCTGTGCTACATTTTTTTTTGTTTTGTTTTTTGTTTTTTCGAGACAGGGGTTCTCTGTATTGTTTTGGAGGATGTCCTGGAACTCACTCTGTAGAACAGGCTGGCCTCAAACTCACAGAGATCCTCCTGCCTCTGCTTCGAGTGCTGGGATTAAAGGCATGCACCACCAACGCCCAGCCTACGGTGCCTCTTTCATCTTGGCTCAAAATCAGAGAGCTCAAAACTGTCCTTAGTCTTCCAAGGTTAAAGTCAAAAGACTTTAATGGTCTAAGGCATGGCTACTGTAGAATGTTTGATCTTGGTAGAGGATGTCTTATCTAAATAACAACAGACTTGGTCTGAGGTGTGGTTACTTAAGGCAGGACAATGGGAAATTGAGTCTAAGGTGTGGTTACCAAATGTTTGGAGGATTAAGGAAAAAAAGTCTGTCTGTTCCTTACACGTGATAAGAAGTCTTTTGCCAGGTCTCCCTTTTGGTTGGGGTACTTAAGAATGTTGAGGAATAAACTTGGGGCATCCTAACCCTCTAAAGTCATCCTCCCTGTCCTGTGGCTGCCTGTTTATTTTTCCTATTTTTCTCCTCTGGGCAGCTGCAAGAATTACAGCTTGCTTGCCCTATGTATGTGTATGGGGGTTCTTTTTGTTTGTTTTTTATTTAAGTACTAATAAATTGTCCATAAGCTTGTTTGAGCACCTGTTGAAAAAATTTTTTCTTCATTAATAAGACTAAGGATCCCAAAACAGGACCTCAATTTCCTTGGTATTAATTATATGATGGGTTCCCTAAGATTTCCTGTAACACTTCTTTTCTACCTTCAAATTCTTCAATAGGCACAGAAAACTAATCCCTTCTTGTGGTTTTATATGGCACCAGTATACCTCATTTATTAGTTGCCAAGTCTGTATTGTTACTGGTTGTGATGTAAAAAATGAAAGTGAAGACGTTCCCGCAGAGCTAGTCTAGACTGGTTAAAACAAGGGACCACTCCTAATGCAATTGGAAGGGAAGAAAGATACCCACCTTCTGAAGGTGATAGAGATCTGTTTTCTGCAGCCCCTTTGACTGTGATCCACAAGCATCCTCTTCCTCTTTGCTATCTGCTTAAAACACAAAATCAAAATACAATAGAGGGAACAGATACCTGCACTAATCCAATGGAAGTAGCAGGATTCAATCCGACAAATGACACTCATCCCAGAAGCTAATGACAATACATAGTACATAGTTTATAAGGTAGGAAGGCCTTCAACAACTATCTACTGAATTCTGAGTGTTTTTAAAAAAATCATACAGGCTTGAAACTATGTCCCTTTGACCTTGCTAAGACTATAAATATGATAAACCACATTGTGACATACCAGTCTCAGCCTTCCAGTTTACTGTTCCTGACTCATTACTATTAAGTATGAGGAAGATGATGTGTAAAAGCTGTAAAAGCAATCTGAGGAAGAGTAATCCTAACTGATAAAATGTATAGCTATGTTTCTGGAGGGGATGACGCTCTGACTTGGTAACCTGACACTTGGCAATGGTTTGGTTCAAGTATGGCAGAAGAATTTAGCTAAAGAATACAGATTATGCCGGGTATTGGTGGCGCATGCCTTTAATCCCAGCACTCGGGAGGCAGAGGCAGGCATCCGGATCTCTGTGAGTTCGAGGCCAGCCTGGTCTACAAAGTGAGTTCCAGGACAGCCTCCAAAGCCACAGAGAAACCCTGTCTCAAAAAACCAAAAAAAAAAAAAAAAAAAAAAAAAGAATCAGAAGATAATTCCTGATTTTAGAAATCCTAAGGTTAGGATATCTAGTAGCTAAATTCTTTTTTCAATTTCATTAACTTGTAGCAGAACCTTAAAATTGATTGCAATACTCAGCCTGAATTGATGCCCTCCCATTTAAATCCAAATTATAATATGCCAGTAGTGTACAGAAACCAAATATTTCTTCCTGTGAGAAATGTTAAGTATATTTTGTTTTAATAACAACTGACTCATTAAAACTGAGAAATAAAGACAAATCACCTGGATGGTGGCTTTGCTTTAATTCATGAAACACTTTTCAGTTGTCAATCATTTTAATCTTCAACCTTACCTTTGAGAAGCTGCAATCGTTTAGTGCTGGTGTAACACAGAATTTGTTCACTAGCTCATCTCACATGAATTCTAATTACAATTATTATGGTTACAAGCAGTTTCTTAAAAAATTCCTGAGTCCAATTTATTTTATATTCTTTGATACTTTGGGCCATAATTATATTAAGAGTGGCTTTTCATTGATCAAACTACAACTGATAACTGACAACACACATGCATACCCAGTTAGAGGCAAAGAGAGGTGGTTTTTAGCCTCGGTGCATATTAGATAGCTGTGAAATATCAAACAGCTTGCTTTTTTTTCTGGATTTCAGTTTCTTTTATCTGAAATGATCTCAAGTTCCAGTCTTTTAACATTATTACCTTTGTAAAGTGATTCAGGTCATTATTGTGGTGTTAAAAGGTCACCACCACACATATTTTGGAGGGAAGCTTTCTTTGTACCTGTGTAGAATTTCTCACCCTGCCTGTTTGTACCATCCCACGTTGATCTTTATAATTGAGGACTCACCAGAGACTACGTTGCATAGAAATCACAGAAATACAAGGAAAGATTACCACAAAAATAATTTACTACAACTAAAGGATTTTAAAGACAAATGAACATCTATCAAATAGAGAAGGGATTCAAATTCCACAGAAAGTATTTTCATGATGCCATGTCTAATTCTATTGTTTATGAATCAAGCCTCTTTCCTCAGCCTATCCCAACACCCCCAAGATTAGGAAAGAGTACAAGACAGTCTATCTGAAGAATGAAAACCGTCTACAGGCAAGTCAGCCGGAATTTAATATCACCCAATTTCATGTGGAGAATGAAAATGTTCTTCCATTTGATTTCTGCATTGTTTAAAATAAATCTAGAGGAGAAGCACTTTGCCTATTGACAGTTGTTGAGATGTGACATTCTGAGCCTTGCCTGCTGATTTACCTTCAAGAGTTTCCTTGCCATTCTGGCTAAAGGATCCTGTCAGTAAGAATGGGCAGGATTTTATACTTACTTACCATCAAGGTTCTGAAACTGGGTCAGGAAATCCTTTACTTTCTGGGTTGTGCTTCCAAGCTGCTTTTTGGTGGAGGAATTCAAAACCTCAAAACATTTCTGAAGTATGTTCGTCAGTTCATCCTTTGCCAGCATTCTAGTAAAGAATCAGTGACAGATCTAGTATAACTAGAAAATTAGCAAACCCAAAGCTTTTTCTACATATGAAACATTTTTATTCAGAAGATGAAATAAAAACCTTCATTAGTACTTTCCTTTTGAAAAAGGTTTTATTTAACATATGCTACATTTAGAAGTATAGAGTTCTCAACAATATTCTTAGTTTGTGTTCATAACCTGGTTCTGATACTGTAGAACAGGACAAGTTCATTACTCATTTCTAATCCTTAGCCGTAAATGGGAACAACATTTCATTGTGTTAGGTGGAAACCTCAAAACTGAAACATTCCCTTCTGTGTGGAGGCTTCTGGACTGACTCAGGAAATAAATGAAGCCTACAATGCTCGAACAGAAAACAGAACTTACAGGTCCCAGAAACTTATAAAACAAACTGTATGTATGAACTTGAATATACATAGTAAACCAATTAGTATATCAAAACATCTAAGCTACAATGGCTAAAATCAGATGGTAGCACTGCTTTACATAGCAACAGGCAACAGGAAAGGAGAAAAATTAAGAAAGAGCATGGTATACACGAAAGTTAAGTATATACTAGAGGTGACATCTCAGATCGCTGGGGAAAATATGCTAGGTGCCAGAAAGCTATTTTCAGAAGAGTAGAGCACTATTATTTACACAAATTTATTCTGACAGATGAAAACTGTATGGTTTGGGATCAGGAAGGAAACAGCTCATCCCAGAAGAAGCAAAGAAGCTAAAGCCTAATAATAACATTTGTGAAGAAGCAGATACACTGTTAGCACCAGTGTACACTGATAAAATCAACTTTATAGTAAGTTTCAGGAAGTCTACATCCATGTATTCATTTTGTGGAAATAATTACACAAATGTATAAACAAACATGCCTGTGATTAATGCTTGTAATAATGAAGAATTAGGAACAACCTAAATATATATCAAGAAAGAGTCTGATTAAATAAAACACATTCCCAAATGCAGGATATTTGAAATGATGCTAAATGATCTAGACCAGGCTGGAGAAACTCACAGAAACAACTGATCATGGACCCCAGACTGATGGCTGGGAAACCAACATAGGAATGATCCAGACCCCTTGATCATGGGTGTCAGTTAGGAGGCCTGGACAATCTATGGGGCCTCTGGTATTTATCCCTAGTGTATGAATGGGCTTTGGGAGCCCACTCCACACAGAGGGTTACTCTCTCAGCCTAGACAAACAGGGGAGGGCTTAGGCCCTGCTCCAAATGATATGACAGACTTTAAGATCCCCCATGGAAAGCCTCACCCTCCCTGGGGAGCAGAAAGGGGATGGGATGGGGGGCTGTTAGGGGGCAGGGGAGGAGGTGAGGGAGAGAGAACTGGGATTGACATGTAAAACAAGCTTGTTTCTAATTTAAATTAAAAAAAGGAACAACAATGATGCTAAATAATGAAGCAGGACAACATACGGTGTTAATGACAACTTTTACACACACACACGTACACACGCACGCACATCATGTCATAAAAAATACTGTGAGATACAATTATTCCCATATTAGAGATGAGCAAATGGAGGCACAGAAAATTTAAGCAACTTGTTTAATGCTCTGAAACTGGTCACTGACTAAGCTGAACTTTGAACTTAGTGTGACATGGCATCTAGTTCTCTTGAGGAGGAAGAGTAGATTGGAGGTCTCCTCCTTACCTGTTCCAGGCTGAGATTTCAAGTTTGCATTACCAGAGCCAGCATCATGCGTGTTCTGACTGACCATACACACTAGCTCAGAACAGTGTCCATGCAAGAACACATATGCACCCACTCTGAGCTACATGCAAAAACTTGTTACAGAAAATAAAAAAGTACAATAAAGTGTCAACCACAGCGGACAACTGGCTTTCAACTTTAAAGTGTCAATGGCAAGTGATAAAACATAAAAAGGAAGGTGGGGAGTTAGCTATATGAATATTTAGAAAAGGTACTTTTATGGTAGAAACATCACTAAGCTGCAAACGTGGGACAGATGGCATGTTTGACCAAGGTAAGGCCACGGTCACTGGCATGGAGACAATGGGCAATAGGAGATCGAAGCCATAAAGAAGCCATAGAACTGGAACAGATCACTATAAAAACTAAGGCTTTTACTCTGGGTGAAATGAAGGGAACTAAATGGTTTTAAGCAAAAACAAAATAAAAATAAAAAATTGCTAGTCATATTTTCAAAAGATCTTCTGACAGCTGCTTTGTAGAGTCACATGTATAAAATCAGGAGGATACGGAAACTACAGAAGATGGTGGTTTCACAAGGCTGGACGAGGATTTCAGTTTCATATATGTCAACTTTGAGATATGTTCTGTGTCTACCACAGGCAGAAAAAGCATCAGGGAAAATTGGAAGGAGCATGCACTGAGGAAGGGGAAAACCAGACATCTTAGAAGTTACTGAAGCAGTAATGACCATGTCAAATTCTGGTACCATAGAAATAAAGACAGAATTATAGTGAAGTTCAGGGAACGTGCAGGTCATGGATAACTTGGATAAAACCAGTTTAGATGTTTGGAAACAAAAGCCTCATTGTAAATGAGTTTGAGACAGAACTCCTTTCTTACATATTTCTTTCACTAACAACAACAACAACAACAACAAAAGAGGCATTTTAAATAAACTTGAAATACAAACTCATCTTTTTATCTGTTTCTAGTGATAAATGTCATTGCTCACCATTAGTTAAATGGAGGATTTCAGTCCAGTTTTGTAAATAATTAATTTGAGATCAATACCTAAAGCCATTCAGTTTCTCCATGAATAAAAATATTTCTTCTTTTACTGCTTCCCCCACATCCTCAAGGAAGTTTTTTTTATTCCCTTTATTTTTTAGAACAGTTAATATGGCTCCTTGTCTTCTGATTAGTATGCTATTCTTGTGACTAGGTATATTCTTTTACTATTGCTATAACAAAATACCCAAAACAAGGTTTTGTTTTGTTTTTTCTTTAAAGAAGTAGTTTTTTTTTTTTTTTAACTCATAGTCTTGGGGGATAAAAGTACTAAATTGGACTGATAGTACCATTGGTTAGGTATCTGATGAAGGCACCCTTGGATGTGGTATCAGAAAAGAGAGCATTGGGAGGGAGAAATCACATAGCCAAGAGAGGAAGCAAGAGATTGGGGCAGGGCCAAGTGAATTGGGTAAAGAACTCATTTTCACAACCAGTTTACCCCATGACATCAAGAGTAATTCTGAGAACAGTACCCTACCAATTTAATTACCTGGCACATCTTAATTAACTTACATCTTGACAGTTTGACCCACAGTGAAGGCTGAACTAAATCTAAGACAAAGCTTTAGAGCATCTGTGTGCTCAAGAGTGTTATGCAAAATCTTTGAGGAGATAACAGAAATCTATGTTAATACACCTCAGATGATTGATTCTTAAGCACAATAAAGCTTGAAAACACTGAAGAAGTAGTGACTCTCAAACCCTTTAAATACAACCTTTTATCTGATTTCATGCTAAGTCTATAAATATCTGTAGAGAAATTCAGGGCCAGCAATCTCTATACTAAAAAAAAATGTTATTTCAATGCTTATCATCTCAGACATCTCTTTCGTTGATAAATCTAACATACTGTACGTTAGTTTACTCTTTAGGAAGTATTCCATTATCATCTAAAGTGGAAATGTAGAGTTAAACTACGTTTACATGTCAGATTTCTAGTCTCTAGGAACGAAGCTGAAGTGATTAAAAATGAAAGCTGAGTGTATGTGCTCAAATGTTGTTATTTTTACTGGGCAGTTTTTTTTTTTTTTTTTTTTTTTTTTGGTTTTTCGAGACAGGGTTTCTCTGTATTGTTTTGGAGGCTATCGGTCCAGCCCGGCCTCGAACTCACAGAGATCCGCCTGCCTCTGCCTCCCGAGTGCTGGGATTAAAGGCGTGCACCACCACCGCCCGGCTACAGGGCAGTTTTTATGTCAACTTGAACAAGCTATCTGAGACAAAGAAAATGCACATTAAGATCTGACAGTAGGCAAGCCTGTAGGGTACTTCCTTAATAAGTGATTACTAGAGGAGGATCCAGCCCACTGTAGGTGGTACCACCCTGGGCGGTGGTCTTTGGTTCTACAAGAAAGCAGATTGAGCAACTCATGAGGAGTAAGCCAGGAAGCAGCACTCTTTTTTGGCCACGGCATCAGCTTCTGCCTCCAGGTTTTTGCCTGGCCTTTCCTCAATGGACCATGACTTGGAATACGTAAGCCAAACTCTTCCTTCCCCAAGGTAAGCAATAGTAACCTTATCTAAGATACTATTTAGATCAAAATCCCCAATCAGAGCCATTGAAATATCTCAGCAGTTAAGGCACTTGCTGCCCAGGTTATAATCTAAGTTTGATCTCTTAAATGTATACAGTGGAAGGAGAAAACATAATCCCCAAAGTTGTCCTCTGACTTACACATGCACGCCCCCCAGTACCGAGGAAGTGCTCACTCTCTGAATAAATAAATGCAAGCAAAAGAGCACCCAATTCATCACCAGACTTCCACCCAGATTAGAATCCATGAGCTGTCAACCAGCTTCATAAGTGTGGAAGTCTGTTCTGCAGGACTTCACCCGGAAGCACTTGGGACATTCCTCTGTATGTGCCATGTGCTGAGATGGTCTGTCAGGGTGAGGTGGTGGAGTCCACAGAAGCTCTTACTCCTGGCTCCCTCTGAAACTGTTTATAAGCTCTGAACACAGAAGACACACCTCAACACGATACACTTCTTTTTACTGTACTCTGTCTGGAATGCCCAGTAAAAATGTGCTAGATTTGAAGATTTACATCAAAGTCGTTGTTCTGTAAACTAGGAAAAAATGGTTTTCAGACTCTCCTCAAACAACAAACAGCAAAGCACTAACTCAAAAGTCTCTGATGTTTTGCACATACCCACTGTGTCAACAGGAGGAAAGCCATGTACTCCAAGGCTGCAGGCTGCCACATCACTTTCCTGTTACGGCAGCCACACCTGCACCCGTCTTTGCTGTAACTACTGTGTCTGATCCGCAGTGCTTTTGACCCCAACTTAATAAAAGGATAGAAACTATACTTGGTACTTACGGTTTTTGCTTTATTTATAGCCCAAAACTTGCACTTCAGAACCTGGCAAATAGAAGTTCAAAGCACTGACAGCTCTTAAATCAGATCTGAATTATGGCCCTATTAACAGTAAAGTGACCTCACCCATGTCACTTAATCCTGAGCTCTGCTTCAGATTCCTCAGGGAAAGCATGGCTAATTGACATACCAGAAAGGTATACTGTACTAGACCTTAAAATGTACTCAAGGTGCCTAAGACAGTATCTGGCACACAGAAAGCCTCCAGTTAATGGTGGTTACAATTGTCACCATTACTTTGAAATCTAGATACTATACACTACTAGATTGATATTTATGATCCCTGACTGGATTCCAAGTTTAGCAGACCCAGGATACTTAAAAAAAGTGAGTAAGTTCCTCCCAGATAAATGAATTTTGGAATACCTAACAAGAGAAGGAAGACAGGTACTAGTCATAAGATTATAACACAAAGAATCAATTAGCCAGGGAGCTGGAGCGATGGCTGGGAAGGCAAAGGTGCTTGCCACCTGACAATGCAAGCTTACTTCAGCGCCATGCCTGGACTCCATGTAAAAGCAGAACTATATGCATACATCTATCAGCTTTCACATGTGCACACATGATGGGAGAGAAAATCAGCTGATTATTTATGATATGATTACTGGGACAGAAAGCGAAGCCCCAGAAATATTCTATTTTAAAGTTCATAAATACACAGAAACAGTTTACTGAAAAAATGAAAAAAAAAAGTATTCTTGGGCATAGTGTCACACACCTTTAATCTAGCACTTGGGAGACAGGCTGGCTGATCATAGTGGTTCATGGCTAGCCTGGTCTATCTAGCAAGTTCTAGACAAGCCAGGGCTACAAAGTGAGAGCCTGTCTCAAAAATAAACAAACAACAACAAAATAAAATAAAATTTCCTTGAGGATTTATTTTTCTAGACAGCAAGAAATGTCAGTTTCATAGTTCCATGGTACCCATATAAAACTAATAATTATATTACTGTTTTTGAACTTTGTGGTGGTTTGAATCAGACTATCCCCCAGAAGTGTCTTTGTTTGAATACTCGGTTACTATTTGGTGGGGCTGTTTAAGGAAGTCCAGGAGGTTCAACCTTGTTGGAGAAAATGCAGCACTAGAAGCTGACTGGGGTTTCAAAGCCAACTGCCTTTCTGAGTGCTCTCTCTGGAATGTGGTTCAAAAAGCCTACTACCTGCTGGCCTGCTGCCACCACAAACCAAACCTCGGAACCACAAGCCCAAATCAACCCATAAGCTGCCTTGGTCATGGTGTTTTATCACAGTAACAAAAAAAGTATTAACTTAAAAGGTATTAACTTCCTACTGTGCCCACCTGTTCTTTTCTTTGGGGCCTGGAGGGAATGGGAACTAAAACTAAATCTAGTTAGCAGACTTCGTTAAAACATGTTCATGTTACTAGGTATGGCGTGCACATTGGCAGAGGCATAAGCATTTTAAGTTTATTTGAGTTCCCTTTCTCAGAATTCAGATGGTCATTATTTGTATATATGTGTGGTACATGCATGCGGTAGCCTCAATGACCATGGCCCCCAAATGCTCATGTGTTTGAATGCTTAGTCACCAGGGAGTGACTTTTGGAAAGGACTGTAACAATTAGGAGGCGTGGCCTTGTTGGAGAAAGTGTGTCACTGGGATGGGTTCTGAGGTTTCCAAACCCCTTCCCAGGCCCAGGCAATGTCTCTGTCTAGAATGTCACTTTCAGCTATTGCTAGAGCACCTGTCTGCACGCTGCCATGCTCTCTGCCACGACGATAATGCCCCCAATTAAATTCTTTCATAAGAGTTGTCATAGTCATGGTGTCTCTTCAGAGCAACAGAACAGTGACTAAGACAGTGAACACAAGTGCATGGGTATGCACACTCACATGTGTACATGCAGGGTGACATCAGGTGTCCTCTCCTATTGCTTTCTACTTTTTTTCAAAATTTACATTTCTCTATTTGTGTTTGTGCACATGTGCATGTTACAACACATGTGTGGAGGCCACACAACAAGTAATGAGTGTTAGTCCACTCCTCCCACTATGTGGCACTAGTGACTGGCGTCAGTCCACTGTTCCTACTATGTGACACTAGTGACTGATGTTAGTCTACACCTCCCACTATGTGGCACTAGTGACTGGCTCAGGCTATGATGCTTTGTGGGGCCAACTCACCAGCCCCCCATATTATTTTTGGAAACAAGGTCTCTCACTGAACCAGAAACCCAAGGTTTGGGCTAGACCAGCTCACCAGTGGGCTTCCAGGAACAATGGGATCTGAATCCAGGTTCTCTTGAAGAGCAGTAAGCAATAAGCCACCTCTCCATTCCCTAACTTTGTTAGGTTTTAATCACTTGGGGAAACTAAAACATAAGAAAAACAAGATTTTCTTAAAATTGTTTGGAAAGTGAAAATTACAAGAATGGAAAGACCTTCCTTCTTGTTCACAGCCAAACCTTGGAGGTCTATACCAACATGGCTAAGAGAGTAAAAGGGAACAACCAGTATTGTAGTCGTTGTTCTTAGAGGTCAGCTAGTACTTCAAGGGTGATGGGACTCCTTTGGTAAGTCGTCTGTCATTTCCAAATCTCTGCCAGTGTATCTCCCATAGGGAGGATAGTCAGGACAAGTAGGCATGTCCCTCCCATATGGTTCCAGAGGGAGCTACATGGTCAGTATGGTGCTACATGACCATGATCCACCCCTACAGGGAAAACTAAAGGAGAGTAATAACTTTAAAAATAAAAAACAATAGCTGGGTGGTGGTAGCACACCTTTCATGCTAGCACTTGGGAAGCAAAGGCAGGCGGATCTCTGAGTTGCATGCCAGCCTGGTCTACAGAGAGATCCAGGAGAGACTCCAAAGCTATACAGAGGAAACCCTTAAAACAGATAGATAGATAGATAGATAGATAGATAGATAGATAGATAGATAGATAGATAGATAGATGATGCATATGTGGAAGCCTATATGGTCTTAAAATACAACAGGAAAGTATAGCCAAAAATATTTAAAATTTTGCCAGTTTTTTCATGTTTGTCAAATTTAAGAATGTTACTGACTTCACTTGTCCAAGACTAGACCCTATTTTCCAGGAAATACTCAAAATGAGAACCAAGAGAGACCTACTGAAAGAGTAAAGCAACTGAATACTTACCCTTTCTCTTCAAAGGATGCCCTATGGGTGAACTTCAGATAGGTACCTACGCCAACCAAGCATAGCCTTTCTTGAACACTCCCCAATCTCCTTATATTGCTATTCAGAATTCAGAAGTGACTCTTTCAAAATTCAACAAATTCTTCCTGAGGCATCATACTCTACACTGATGTGACTGTGTCTTTTGTCCTTGTCTTCCAGATTCTAATCCCTAAGACTTCATACTGCTAACTAAATGATGCCAACCTTTCATAATGCTAACTAAGGGATGCCAACCCTTGACCCAAGACCACCATGGTATTCTTCTATCAGGGCAGTTAGTTTATTTAAAGTAATGAGCTATGTGTCCCCACTTTCCAAACTTAGTATGAACCCTAAAGTCCTTCCATTGTCTCTATTTGGTTCCAAAGCAGCTAAGATAAGCTGTTATCATATATCAGAAAAAACTGGGTCCCAGATCTCTGAGAAGAAAATATGCAAAATTAAATATGTTCAAAAAAAGGTAAACAAAAGATCTCACAGCTGGTTATGCACTAATTAGCCAAATTAAAAAGAAAAAAAAAAAGCAGGGCCCTAAAAAATGAAATCTTTACTGTTAACTAATTTTGATTACATTTGGCTCCAAAACAATATATTTAAACATTGTCTAATGAGAGCATTGTAAGGCATATTATGCTAGTCAAGTGTTAAATGCTGTTTGGGCTCAGAAGCTGCTCTGGAAGCACAGACTTGAGATCACACATACAAGGAAGTAAGAAAGAATGGAAGGTTGCTACACTAGTTACATTATTACCACCAAAAACCGCACATATAAATGCAAAAGATATTCAAATATACTTAGATACAAAAGGCCATGTAGGAAACTTTTGGGCAGACAGAATTCTGGAGGAAGGTACTACTTACTGGCAGGCTTAAAGCAGACAAAAAAGGAACAAAACCAAAAAAATTACCTCAGCAGCTGCAAGGCTGATGCATATTCCTCGGAATCCCATATATTCTTTTCTAAACATGTGCAATACAGCTCCCTGATCTATAAATGAGAGATATGATTTATGAGAAATAAAAGTCACCAAGCTTATAGCCTACTAGTTAGGCAAAATACAGATAGGTTACAAAGTAATTGATGTTATTAATAAAAAATTTCACTAAATTACAAGAGACTTCTTGGCATATATTACATGGATCAGACTACAGAAATATGAAACTTAATTGAAACTGTGTTGGGAGTGATTGACAAAAGTCACTTTACATGTCATGAAAGTTGGAATATATTACAGCACAAATATAGAGAAAACAAACTATTGGCATCCACATGGCTATTTCTAGCTATGATAAAAAACAAAATAAAACAAAAAAACCCTCAATTTCTATTATTAGTAATGTGACCAGCTGGAATAAACTGTGTTCTTATTGTAAGAATTGGCTCCATTGCAAATTCCAATGCCCTAGTGATAGAAAAATCAAAACAAGAAAGTACTAATTTCCCTACATTGTTGATTCCAAATGAGAAAATCTTAAGTACCTGTCGACCCAGTGGATACTTGGGAAGACAAGATGTAAAACTATGAAGACATCTCAAAACAAGGAAGTAATTCATATGGTAAACATGCAAGTTTTCCAGTAATAATTGAGTTTCCTCCTAAAAAAAAATCACAAGATACATTAATAATACGCAAGGCAGTAAAATAAAGTTTAAACATCAATTTATAGATACATAATTTCTAGGAAACAGATGAGTATTTAGAACTACAAATTACTTTTCTTAAATCATGACAACTTGACATATACATCAAATTCAGGACACAGTCCAGGCAATTTTTTAGCATCAAATCTGGATTTATTTTACACACATCAGAACTGACACTGCAATTTAGTATCTATCCTGCCATCTACCCCACAAATTACACACTTGTAATTGAGCATTTTTATCCTCTGTCTGCCACTATTAATCAACTGGTGTGTACTACAAGGGAGTGACATAATTTTCCTCACTGAAAGAGCAAACAGTTGTAGTTCTGGCCACCAATTCAATTGAAGGCCTCCTTTGTGATTTTCATCTGTAACATTCTCATGGTCCATAAGCAAACACAGAACAGACCATTCACAGCTTATAATCTAACCTTAATAGGTCCTTATTCTAGAAGACTAAGGGAAAGAGAAGTGTAATAAATAAGCCTGCTTCTTTGAAATCTTGCATCAAGGTCAAAGGAAAGGTCCAGAAGAAAAAAGGCCACGCATATTCATTCAACAACTCCCCACAATTCAGCTGTAGGATGGCTGCTTCTGCAGGTAACACCACATTAAGAAGCTGAAGTAGGTGGTGGTGGTGCACACTTTTGATCTCAGCACTTGGGAGGCAGAGGCAGGAGGATCTCTGTAAGTTCAAGGCCAGCCTGGTTTGCAGAGCTAGATCTAGCAGTCAGGGATGTTATACAAACAAACCCTGTCTTGCGGAAAAAAAAAAAAAGTCAAAGTGAAGACTATTACTGAAGATAACATATATTTCAATCACAGGATGAACAGAAATCAAGCTGGTACTGAGCTGTAACTGACCTCTCTGAGGTTTAGCTCTTAGTGTTGCAATTTGCCAAGAGAGAAAAGTTATTAAAAGTTCTACCTAGCTGGAGAGCCTGCAAACCATTGGCCTAGAGAGAAATCCCCAATGCTGCAATATTGGCACTTATATCTTGTGGGTAACAAGCTAACTGAACTTAAGCCCACTCAATTGAAGGGAACTCATGCCTGGTACTGTTAACCTAGTCAAGGATCTGTCAGAGCTCTGGTATAAGTAGAGTGGTGTAATTGGTTCATAGATCCTAGAAGAGAACCTACCACTTCCATTTGCAGTTTCCAATTTCCTCGAAATACTAATCCATATATTTACATATAAGTGAAGCTCTTAGCCCTCATCAAAGAAGTTTCTTTCTGCCCTAGGTGGAGATTACTACAGAGCTCTACCCGACTGAAACACAGACTATAGATGGTCCACCCTCAAACAGATAATCTGTAACACAACCATTAAATCGCCATGGATAAGGTTGCATGCATGAACTTTCAAAAATATGATTGTCTGCACATGAGCTGCCTGAGGCCATACAAGTCAATATGACAAAATGGATGGGAAAACTACATAAGGCTTCCAGACAGTTCAAGGGCTGAGGGAGAGAGAATCAGTTTTCCTCAGGATCAAGGCCCCACCATGTTGCCCAGCTGTAAATACATGTATATATGGGCAATACTAATTGGCCACAATAATAAGACACTGTTAGATTTGTATATTTATGGTGAGTGTGTGTGTGTGTCTGGGTGTGTGTGTGTGTGTGTGTGTGTGTGTGTGTGTGTCTGCATGTGGTTGGAGGCCCAGAGAACAATTACAGCAGCCAATTCTTTCCACCATGTGGCTTCCATGATCGAATCTAGGTTGTCAATCTATGTCACATGTGCCTTTTACCACTGAGCCACCTCAGTGGCCCAGATAATACCTTTATCTAGCTATTGTTGTTTGACTAGGATATTGAGAGCATTAATATTCCATTTTTTATTGGCAGATCCATCATTTACTAATTGTGAATACTGACTGAGTGATTATTTTTGAGACGGGGCCTCATGTAACCCAGGCTGGTCTTAAATTCCCTATGTGGCTAAGGACGGCTTGAATTATTATTCCATTTCATGGATAAGGAAACTGAAGCTTAAATTAGCAAGTCATTTTCTTAAGGAAGTGTGGCTAAGGAGTAGCTGGAGTTCAAGATGGAATGCAAAATTACAACAGCAGAATTTTGCCTACTGTCATATAAGGCTGAAAAACTGTTTTTAGAAAAAGATTAAAATATTCACAGCCATTTTTACTCTAAATTAAGAATTATTTTATAGACATCTTTTGTATGACTTTAATAAGCAGTCTACAACTTCTTCTTTAGTAAGTAGCCTATAAGTACTCTTCATATTTCTAAGTGTATGAAGTCTTGGGAAAATGAGTCCTTAAAAGAAAAAATATGCATCGCTAAAATGAACACAGCAAACAAAACAACAAATAGAAGGCAGGGAGAGAAAAATAAAACCAACATAAATGCGTAGGAAATGTGCAAAGAGTCCTGGAAACAGATAAGTATCATGCTATTTCTGTACTAGATTAGACAGGCTCTTCTGCTGTCATGTCAGTGACTCAAGAGTATTGTAACGAGCTACTCCCTCAGGGCAGAGGGCAAAGGGCAGAGGCCAGAGGTGAGTTCCAGGCCCCCATGTTGGTCCTGACTTCCTTCTGCTCGCCCTCTCCAGGATCTCCTAGACTGGCTACTGCAGCAAGCTCCAATCATCCCCAGGGGACTAGCAACCAGGAGCAAGCTGAGAGAGTCATCCTTCTCCTGCCCCCACTCAGGGCTGAGGGCAAAGGCCAGAGGTGAGCTCCAAGCCCGCATCTTGGTCCCAACTTCCTTCTGCTCGCCCTCTCTGGGATCTCCTGGACTTGGAACTGCAGCAAGTTTGACTGGCCTCCTGAGGGCCGAGTGACCAGGAGCCTGCACCCATTCCACTCACGGCAGAGGGCAGAGGGCAGAGCTGCCACCGACCGGGAGAGGGAGCGCCTCAGACCCGTCTGTACCCACTGTGAGACCCATCAGGATATTGGAACTGCATGTACCCACCGGAAGAGAACCTAGGACCTCTACCCACCAGGAAAGGAAGAGACCCCACCTGTACCCAAAGAAAGAAGAGATAGGATACAAGAACAAATTCAACCACAGAAAAACCAATTTGACACCAGCAGAGTCTAGGGACTGTATTCCAGCAAGATATGAACATCACAACACAGATCAAGCAGAATAGAATGACTTTAAAAACAACTTTATGAAGATGATACAGACCCTAAAAGAAGAAATGAGAAAATCCTTTAAAGAAATGGAAGAAAAGGCAAACCAAAAGATACAAGAAATAATTCAAACAGTGCACGGTTTGATAGCTGAAATAGAGACAAAAAAAAAAAAAAAACACAGTCTGAAGGAATGCTGGAATTAGAAAAGGGGAGTAAATGATCAGAAACTACAGATGCAAGCATAACCAACAGAATACAGGAGTTAGAAGAGAGAATCTCAGGTGCTGAAGATTCACTAGGAGAAATAGATTCATCGACCAAAGAAAATCTTAAGTCCAAGAAATGCCTAACACAAAATATCCATGAAATATGGGACATCATAAAAAGACCAAACATAAGAATAATAGGTATAGAAGAAGGTGAAGAAAACCACCTCAAAGGGGCAGAAAACATATTCAACAAAATCACAGAAGAAAACTTTCCCAACCTAAAGAAAGACATGCCAATGAAGGTACAAGAAGCTTACAGGACATCAAATAGAGTGGACCACAAAAAAAAAAAAATATCCCCTCGCCACATAATATTCAAGACCTCAAACATACAGAATAAAGAAAGAATATTAAGAGCAGCTAAGGAAAAAGGTCAAGTAACAAACAAAGGCAAACCTATCAGAATTACACCTGATTTCTCCATGGAAACTCTGAAAGCCAGAAGGTCCTGGATAGATATTCAACAAACAATAAGAGACCACAGATGCCAGCCCAGACTACTATTGTCAGCAAAGCTTTCAATCACTATAAATGGAGAAAACAAGATATTCTATGGCAAAACCAGATTTAAACAATACATGTCCACAAATCCAGCCCTACAGAAAGTACTGAAAGGAAAGCTTCAACCTAAGGAAGGTAACCACACTCACAAAAACATAGGCAATAGATAATGCAACTTCACCAAAGGCCAAAAGAAAAAGCAGTGTAATCCCACAAACAATAACACCACCAATAGCAAATCAAAAACAAACAAGAATTAACACTCAATGGTCCTTAATCTCCCTAAATATTAATGGTCTTAATTTGCCTATAAAAAGATACAGGCTAACAAAATGGATACGAAGACAGAATCCACCCTTATGCTGCATACAAGAAACACACCTCAACTTCAAAGACAGATATTACCTCAGCATAAAGGGTTGGGATAAGATTTTCCAATCAAATGTATCCAAGAAACAAGCTAATGTAGGTACCCTAGTATCAAACAAATTAGACTTCAAACTAAAATCAATCAAAAGAGATAAAGAAGGTCATCTCATATTCATCACAGGAAAAATCCATCAGGATGAAGTTTCAATTCTGAACATCTATGCCCCAAATACAAAGGCATCCACGTTTGTAAAAGAAACATTTCTAAAACTCAAATCACACTTAAGACCTCACATAGTTTTAGTGGGAGCTTCAACACCCCACTCTCACCACTAGACAGGACCGAAAGACAGAAACTTAACAAAGAAACAAAGGAACTAAGAGAAGTTATGACCCAATTGGGTTTAACAGACATCTATAGAACATTCCATCCAAACACAAAAGAATATACCTTCTTCTCAGCACCACATGGGACCTTCTCTAAAATGGACCATATACTTGGCAACATATCATACCTCAACAGGTACAAAAAAAAAAATGTAATAACCCCCTGTATCTCATCAGACCACCATGCATTAAAGTTAGAATTCAACAACAACACAAATTGCATAAACCCTAAAAACTCATGGAAATTGAACAACGTGCAATTGCACCATTCCTGGATCAAGGAAGAATTAAAGAAAGAAATTA